AAAATACCCTCGTTGTGTTAAGTGTTAACATGCCAATAGTCAAAGTACCAATATAGTTCTGTAAACATGTTAATAATGGTCAAAGTACCACAGTTCTGTTAACATGTGTATGGTCAAAGTACAACAAATTCTATTTACATGCTCAAGGTCAAAATGCCCTCGTTCTGTTCAGTGTTAACATGCCAATAGTCAAAGTACCAATATAGTTCTGTAAACATGTTAATAATGGTCAAAGTACCACAGTTCTGTTAACATGTGTATGGTCAAAGTACAACAAATTCTATTCACATGCTCATTGTCAAAATACTTTCGTTCTGTTAAGTGTTAACATGCCAATAGTCAAAGTACCAATATAGTTCTGCTCATGCTCAAAATGCTCTCGTTCCGTGAAGTGTTAACATGCCAATAGTCAAAGTACCAATATTGTTCTGTAAACGTGTTTATAATGGCCAAAGTACCAAAGTTATGTTAACATGTTAATGGTCTAAGTACAACAAATTCTATTTACATGCTTATGGTCAAAATACCCTCGTTCTGTTAAGTGTTAACATGCCAAAAGTCAAAGTACCAGTATAGTTCTGTAAACATTATAATAATGGTCAAAGAACCACAGTTCTGTTAACCTGTTAATGCATGGTCAAAGTACCCCCCGTTCTATTGAGATGCTAATGGTCAATGCACCCCAGTTCTAGTACTTTTAACATATTAATGGTCAAAGTATCATCGTTCTGGTATCATGTTAATGGTAGCCTACTACCTTCTGTTAACATCATGTGCATGGTCAAAGTGCCACTATTCTGTTAGCATGTTAAACGTATAGTGATCGTTGTGTGGCTATGGTAATGATCAAAGCACCACCGTTCTGTTAACATGGTAATGTTATCATGTTGCATTTAAATGAGAAATCCCATTCTGTCTATTTTACTCGGAAACTGGCACACCTGGTCTATCAACAGTATAAATTATCTAGTAATCTACAAGATTATCGTGATTAGAAAATCATCAAGATCACAACGCAACTAAGAAAGCGCAAATTGTACCAAATTAGATCCATATATTATTCTTGGTTGCAACATGTACAAGGGAGGTATGTGAATCCCACAATGCTTATCTATAATTGTGTTAACATTGATTTCATAAACATGAAAGAAGTAAGAAATGCTGGGATTGCAAGATAAGATTTCCTCCCCGTGCGTGTGATCCCTTGAAGTGTAATAGTATCTATTTCTAATTGAGTTTATCCAATCTGTAGTGATATTTACCTTGGGCCTGGAGCTCCTTATTCTGTTGGTATGTTTTAGCTCCACAGGCCCGTAGCCAGGAGGACCCCCCTCCCCCCTTCTAAATCTCTGGGCTCTATTTTCCAAATTTTGGCCCTAATTTTCTTCCGAAATTTTTGGGACACCTCCCTTATTTTTGGAGCCACCCCTGGTGTCTTGTCATAACACCCTTGTAATTACAATGCAAAGTTTGTTGGTTCAGCATGCCATTTTATGTGTGGTTTGGGGGGTCGATCCCCCCCCCTTACCAAAAGCTGGCTTCGGACATGCTCCTTATATATGGTCTGCTCGTCTTCCATTCATTTTTTACCCTGAATCCTACGTTTTCCTGGGACAATCCATAATTTATCTCGAAGTATGAATTGACCCCATCAAATGAGATATTTACTAAATATTTGCTTATTTGATAGAATCAATCAGTCTATCAATCTGTTTTTTTAAATTGGCAATAATCGGTCTGAAGATGGATCATATTCAACATGAAGTTTAATTCCAGAGGCTAATGATTGTGGGATGTATACCCTCTTGTACCAAATGACGTTACTTTGCTGTTAATGAGGGTTGATTCCTGAGCATAGTAGGTACACCTGAAATGATTAAAGGTAGCAAAAAACGAAGCAGGTATCCATTTAATCTTAGCCAGGTATTTCCCCGGGTATTTCATCATTAGCAACGGAGATTTACTTTATCTCTCAAGTTGAACGGTATGTTTTAAGGGGAACCCTTTTTAATTGGTCATAAACCCCTACTGCGTGTGGGTTCAGCTTTACTTGTATTCTGATTTAAGTGTCTATGGTTCTTGTTAAAATACGTTAAATTGTTCATATGGGTCAGTAATATACGTGAAAATGTTTGAAAATGGGTAAAAGGATTTAGTAAAATACAGTACGTAGTATGGTTTATAAGGGTCTAATATTAATATACGTCAATTTGTTAATAAGGGTCTAGTAAAATACGTAAAATGATGTATAGGGCCTGAGGTCTACATGTAGAAGTGAAGTCGTTTTGAGGTGTTGGTAAAATGCTTGAAATTATTAACAAGACCCTAGTAAAAGGACCAAGACCTTGTTAAAAAATATGGTTAATATGGGTATATTAGAATACATCGAAAGGTTTTAAGGGGATTAATTGCTTTAAATTATGGGGCCTAGTGAAATACATTAAGTCGTTCGTTAGGGGTCTAAATGCTTTAAGAGAGAGTCTAGCAAAATGCGTTAAGTGGCTTGGAGGGGTTATTAATGAAATACGTTGAATTGATTATAAGAGTCAAGTAAAATACGTAAATTGTTATAGGGTTTGGTAAAATACGTTAAATGGTTTGTAGGGGTATCGGTAATTAATGTGTTAAATGGTTTATAATGATTTGGTAAATAAATTAAATAGTTTTCGGGGATTCATAAAATACATTAAACGGTTCATGTATCAATGCAAGGATTTGTAAATAATATCATCATAATGTTAGATGTTTTTAGATATCTGGTCAATTCAAATACGCTTAATGTCTTGAGTTTGCGCTAAATCATGATAATTGGTTGATATGGATTTGGTAAAATGCGTTATTTGGTTTTTTAGTTTCTTGTAAAATACGTTAAACGTAGGTGTATGTCAGAACATGGGCAGAATTTGTCAGAATAAGCAAAATGGATTAAAGAGGCCTATTAAAATATGTTAATAGATTTATAAAGATTTTGTTTGGAAAAGTGTAATTGTAAATTGAACTTTTCCGTTCTACAATAAGGCTATTTTAAGATTCTCAGTTTAGCTATCTCATTTTAAACATTAATATAATTGAATACTTTGATTTAGATTTGATATCTGCTTTATCTTGTCTCCTTTTCTACGGTTGCTTCCTTACTACACACGTCATATGTAGTGACATGTATACCCAGGATAAGAAAAATGCCTCACTTTAATAACTAACACCCCAGTCACATTTCCTAGGGCGACCTTGCGGTCTATCATTTCTGCGGCCAGTAACATTTCTACGCTCGCCGCAGAATTTCTGCGCTCTCATACTTTTGCAGTCACATTTCCCACGGCAGCCGCACGGTGAATTTTAAATTTCTGTTGATAAATAATACTTTTTTCATTTTATTTACATCGGGACAATTCATAAAGGTTATTCATAGTGCTAGGATGTAATATCAAATGAAAAGTGATCGTGAAACACTGACAAATAATGATTCAATCTTGTTGAGCCAGTTGATTTCTACGGGGACCTCAGAAATAAACAAATATTATAACTCCGAGTTATAATTTCTACGGCGACCCTGCGGCCTGTAAAAAACTGGATACGCCGTACGGAGGCCGCAAGGCGAGCGTAGTTTTTCTACGCTCGCCGCAGAAATTCACCGATTTAATTGATCTGCGGTGGACTTGCGGCCGCCGTGCGACAAATGTGACTGGGGTGTAAGATAACATGTTGAAAGAATTTTGAAAACACTTTGTCCAAAGTTCAATTGTCATTCCTGTTTGTTCATAAGTTGATAGGGTGCGGAGAATGTGTTTTGAATAGACACTATTCCTGACGTTCCCGTTCTGGCTTTCTCAACATTAATTATCACGACAGAACACTTTGTTTCTCAAGCTGCCCCTTGACTGGATGGAATTGACCAACTGATGTAGTATTTAGCGTGAGAAAGCGAAAAGAAATTTTTTGTTAGGTTAACCTTGGGCTAACTACATTGGAGTAAACGTTTGTGCTCAAATCTTCGACTCTAGCTAAAAGTATTTGCGAAAAGAATATAGACAGCTAGTCATCGTGTTTGTCTACATGTATGTCAAAGGCATACTCGCTTTGTTAACAAGCATCGAAGTTGACACGAGTATTTCCTTTTCGAAAAAATCAAAAAATCCCCAATAACGATTTGACATTGGATATAACTTCCCGAGATATTAATGAAAGTACTTGCAAAACAATTGTTTTTAGGACTGATTAGCCTAACAAGCATTGGCTCTACGACAAAGTGATTGTTATTTATTGCCTTTTAGATGTTTTCGCAGATAAAATCAGAAAATGTATTTCACCTAAAGCCCTCGATACGTCGAGCAGTCAATTAAATGTAGCCTAACTTTCCATCTTTTTCTTTCATAATATATTTTTGATGTTTTCAGTATGTCTTTGGTGATGATCGCCGAGTGCTGTTTTGTTTGTTGTATTGCGTAGTATTGCCATGTGTTCGTTCTCATTTGTTATCCTCTTGTTTAAACCATTTCCTCCTATATAGACGATATATGTACAGATGTATGGTATTAAATATAGACTGAGTACAAGAGAACTTCAAAAATACAAGTATATTTTCATTTAATGTCAGAGTGTACCACTCAACCATTTGTCATCATCGTACTATCAAAACACAGATGTGATAGCACAACAGTTAATTAATAGCACCAATTGATTCGTTCATTTTTTAACTAAATTATTGGTTAGTGGACTTGAGCCCCTGGAGGGATATTCTAATTAGTGCTAACACTATCTAGAGGTCTACTATGAAATCATCGCCTATATATTTAAAAATAACAGCTCATAATCAGTGCTCAGTGCTTTTCGGCAGATAGATACACTAAGTCTCTTTGCTCTCAAAATATTGATGCAGTTGCTGTTTATTTTGTGCAGGTAAGTGAGATACCTGATCACTGTTTAATTAATTACGTAACATCAAAGTATATTTAGTAAACAGAGACAGCTGTACCAGCGGGCAGAGGTGATGAATACACTGTGTGGGATAGAGGATTTCCTATTGCAAGGAACACCACTCCACTCGTTCAACGTAACACACGAATTCGTGATAATCATAGCTTCCGGCGATCAAAACCGTTTCGTGACCTGGATGGAACCGAGACCGTAATGATCAAAATGCTTAGTTTCCAAAGAATGCGATTAATGTATCCAGTAAATCTTCTTCATTACTTTCAAGGTCAATGAATAAGATATATCGATTTAAGTTTACGGGATTAATTAGGACATGCTGGTATATTTATTATAAGATGGAATGAAATCAATTAATCTGAATTTGTTTCTACACGACTCTGAAGTGAGGTCTATCGTTATGTCTAAATGTACTATACAGGTCAGAGAGCCAAGAGGAATATCAGCAAAGGACCATTATTACAGATAAGCTTTATTGCACACTTCATGATCAGTCACTTGCAAGGAAAGAGCCGATCAGCAGTAAGGTATTTAAGCCCTTAGAACACATCACTGCGACTGGGTTTGGATATTACAAAGTGCACTTCAAGGATTACTCTAAAGCTTTCACATTAGTTCGGTTAACATAAAAGGGTGGATTGGTTTTATCATCATAATTAAAATTGCAGAATTAAATTTTGACTTTATGGATAAAGAATATTTGCAAATTCGTGAACGACGATATCGATGCCCATTAAAATGTATTGATATTTTGAACTTTTATGGAACATAATCTTTTTGTTCTCTACCTCAATCATTTTCTTAAAGCGATATTTACGCGTACATTTGAACTATTTTATTTAACTGTTAAAATTATACTGTACTTGCTTGATAAGGAAGAAAATAACTTGAATTAAACGCATACATTGGCAACACCAATGTCTGGTTGCTTTGCCAACTTAAATGACCGTCAAGTGGATTTACAACTCCTTATCGCTTCAACTTTACAATTGTCAACAAATAAATATCGAAATAGAGAGCATGTATCTTCAATGTGTGCATATTTTGTCATTTCAGCCTGACCCGTTCAAAGTCTGAACCGTTGAGCTGACTATGGAATAGCTGGGAATACACTTGCAAAGTACTACAAGCCTAAAGGAAGTGACGAAAGTGATGACGCTCTTGAAAAACATAATTGGCCACTGATAACAACGTCAGAGTTAAGTTGGATGTATACAAAAACTTACCCACAAATAGAGTAAAAAATGGATCTATTAAACAACATGTTAGGATTTATTCTAAGCTTCGTCCAAATGGTTCTCGTATGGGGGGTCGTTGTTATGACATTTGTAGCAGGGTTCGCAGTGTTGAAGAAACGAAAAAAGACAACGTGCCCATCAGGCCCTGTTGGCCTCCCTTTCATAGGCTCCCTGCATCTACTAGGGGATAAACCACACAGGGTAATCTCAAAATGGAGAGAAACGTATGGTGACATATTTAGTGTACAGCTTGGACGTAAGGAGGTGGTTGTGGTGGCCTCGTGGGAAGGCTTCAAAGAAGGACTGCTTGCGGAAAGAGCGCCATTTCTAGATGGAAATACGAGTACAGGATTCCAAGTGGAATCCATTCAAAATGGTGAGTATCCAGTATTTCGATTTTGAATAGTTTCGGGGACTTTGTAGTCTAGCTACAAGCCCTTGTGACCCCCCCCCCCCCCCTTCGCCACTACAACAAGTGTGAGAAGGTGTTCAGTCAAGTAGATACAACCCACCCCCGGAACCCACCCAAGGCTTGTAGCTAGACTAGGGACATTGATTCTTTTACATGCTTTATTTTCCATTGTGCTAACTTGTGCATCCTCGCCAAAACTATCATTTTTATCAGTATGAGATTGTTTACATACATTCTGATTTGCCAGTCATCTATCTATAGCTAATCAGGAAGAGGATAGGGGCGTACATGTAGGTTACAACGTTGGTTCACATGGGTATGACGTTTCCTCCTTGAATAATTTATCTTATGACTGATATTAATTTGTGTTGATTTGTTATTCAAATGTGCTTACTTAAATCCTATTTTGATAGGAGAAATGAAAAGTTGCAGCAGAAACAGGCAAAATGATAAATATACTGTTTCAAGATACATTGCAGTACATCAGGATATGGATTACTATTTATTCCTTTTTAATTCCCAGTGTCAGTATTTCACGATTTAAACTATTCCCATTAATCCGATTATCTGCAAATATAACTCCTCTTGGGCCCTTTGAGATTAGCTAACATTGATGAAGTTATTAACAAACTCATCGATATAAAATGTTTTAAGTGTAAATGATATTTATAACACATTAATGAAACGAGTGTTTTATTATTTTAACCACTGTTATCATTGGAGTTCTCGATACGTAAGTGAAGCTACTCGTATTCCCATAAAGGAGATTAGAACTCATCGTATTAGTACAGTGGGGGAAACATGACTGGATTTTTTGCCTGTGAGAACATCGAAGAGATAAATCAGGGACCGTTGCAGTTGAATAACAAATGTTATGACCAGACAGTGCCGTATAGCTATCCAACTGTTATAATTAATCGTATATTCACAAATGAACAAGACATTAAGCTCTCAGAGCTCGAGATTAAAGCATGCATGACGTGACACCTAGATAATTTTTCATTTATTGAAGTTACATGCTTTAATATATTAACAATATCAATCACTTAACTACGGCAACTGATATTAACTTTGTAGCGTGTATTGCTGTGTGCAAGATAAATAGGGGCTCCTCAGGCTTGTAGACAGCTTTTGCAAAGGGGGGTTCACTTTTAAAAAATTCCAGGGGGTTCACTTTTGACAAATTTGCCAAAATCACTTAAAAGGTGCTCAGAATGTTGAAAAACTGCATGGTTTTGAAAGAATATTTGACCAGTTCTCGGCCATGGGTGCTCGAATAAACGGGCTACGGGCCTGCTCCTCTCCCATATATCACCTATTGCACCAACTGTGTCCAAAATATCACAGAACTACTTATAAAATAACTATTTATTTGTATTTTTGTAAAATTGTCACGTCTATATAAAGTATAATCATGAGTTATGAACCGTTATGTACACTGAAAAGCTAACTAGCTTCATGCTGATTCACAAAGTTGCAGAACTTGCAGTTGCTGCAACATCATTATTATAACCACACCTACATGTAGCTTGGAATTTAAAGATGGTAGAACATATCATTTTGATAACCCTTGTAAGGAGTTCATTTACAGGCACCAGGGTCGGCAAAAACCAATGGTCATTGATCTCGTTACAAAAAGTATTGATCAATTCTGAGTATCTTCATTTTGTATCTAATTTCATAGTATTCTTCTGCGCCCCTTCCCCAAGAGCTATTCTCTATGCCCCTTCCCCAAGATCTATGTTCGCCGAATATCCGGGCCGAATATACACCAATATACATTGAAGAGCATGGGCTGGATTGGCCTCAGAATTGGTACTCATGTAAAATTATGAAGAGACGATATATACAACACTTTAATTATATACACCAAATCCATGATTTGCAGGTCGTGCCAAAAGAGCGGGAACTCCAACGGTGCAAACTCAACGCAGTAAGACACCAGATGACATCAACGACTTGACACTTCGGGAGAGAGTTACTGCACAGAGGATGTTACTTTGGAGTCAAATGCCAGAGGTGGGTTAGTATTCAACTATGTAGTCTTGCCTCAAGACTGCCCCTCCCCCTGTGTACTTACCTTTCCAGTGCAACACAAAGTACAGGGGCTACACAGTCTTGAACAAGACTATTTACTATGAAACTACAGAGAGCTGACATATATAGTTAGGTAGAGGCCTGGTAAATGTATTGCACAAATACAAACGTAACCATAAAAGAAGTTCGGCAAATATGCCATAAAAGCTCTGAAGAATGGAAATTGAAGAATTGAATAAAAATTGCGCCAGCTCTTGCTTGAGCCAGAAAATCATCATCCAGTGTGAATAGCACAACCTTTTAGCAGATCATAATCCTGCAAATGACCGAGTCGCAAGATGGACAGTATTTATGAATAAGACATTTTTGATGTTAAGACCATAAATTTGTTTAAAGTAAGAAGTAAAGCCAAGATCTTAAATACATATACCTATTGCAAGGGCTCCATTTTCAATTGCTCAAAATTATGCTAACCTGGGCGAATAAACACACAAATATACTAAAACCCATCATGATAAACCATGACAGACATCTGATCATTTCTTCTTAGCCCTGAGATCACGTTTCATGTGAAACAGAAAGCTGCTATGAGTATCAGAATGACTAACCCATAAAGCATAAAATCTATGAAAAAACCAACAGCATACTAAATATTCGATGATTTGATTTATATCTTAAGTAAATTTTAATGATGAACTTGAATCAGAAATGGGAAAGCTGTAGATAATCCGATATGAGCTTCGTTGAATCGGTTCGGTACCCCAGATTTATGGTATAAACAGCATTTGATCAAGTTTCTTTACGAATTACATAATTCTCAATTACAGCGGTATGATCGATTGGATTAAATGATGAAGCTCTTAAGCTAAAATCAAAGGAATATCTCCATCTTCAAGAAGTAAATGCAACTTATTAATATGGACTTTTCTTAAGAGCCGAATTGGATGGTTGGCCTTTTAAAATGGATGCTATAGTTCAAGATCAATCAAAAGTACATGGATATTAATGCTAGAGTAATTCCTATATTCTTTCCCATATTCTTTTGACTTCATCACATGCAAATACAAATTTTGGCAATCGTTATCATTTTGTTTTACCCCAGAAATGTCGCATTGTTAATTTCATGCCTCTGTTAATATTATAATTACCCTTTGCATTCGTTCGACTTCACTTCTTACTCCGTCGGTGTCTGCACGCAGGGTAGTTGATAATGAATGTTAAAGTTAATATTCATTATGTTATAAAATTCCAGAAATTAAATAAATATGTATTTAACATTGATTCCTGATATATTAAACTTATAGATGGTTGCCATTGTCAGAGATCAGAATTGTGTATGAGGAAGTTGATATAGGCTATGATTGTTATTTTATAAAAAGGTCGAACGTAACGATCATACTGAAGGTTAATTTTCTGTGGCCTTTAAAAGGTCAAGGATCAATTATTAAAATCCTTTTTGAGTCTTTGGATTGAATAAATTGCCAAAAAACTCTGCGAGCGTTATATTTTGAAGCTCGAGATCTAAGGTCAAAGTCAAGGGCAAATCTAAGTTTTTTTTATTTTTGTGATCCTAACACAACACGTTCATGTTTTTTCAATTGTGATATACAGATAGTATAGTCTTGACCATTTTCCATCAGAATGTATTTTAATTTAGTGTTATCATGTACGCGTCTTAAAAGTAGGTCAACACAAAATTGAATTTAAGGCTAATTGATTTTCAGATATTGAGTATACTTTTAATCAAAGGAGTTCTCTTATTTTCCAGGTAACAACTGATGGTCTCATAGATACTGTCGATTCCTCTGAACGGAAAACACAAGAGGTAAGTTCTCATTTGTCATTTTACAACAACGACATCAGAAGATACGAATAGGAACATATCCTATAATTATACCATAAAACAAAAAGTATGTAACCATCCAGAAAGTCAAATGCGCAACGTTCTGCCAAAAACACAAACAAATAAATCGATGAAGTCGACAAATGTAAAAGCCAGACCTGCGTCAGACAGAGAACAGTGAAGCAATTACATAAGAATCCTAAAATTAGTGAAGGTCAGCTTGAACGATGGTCATGCCATATAACTCTCCCTATTCTTGCGTTGTTCAAATTGATCAATACATCGAAAGGTCGAAATGAATGGCGTGGATGATGAAACAAGTTTCTTAATTACGGCAAATGACCTGCAAATGGAAATGATGGGCATATTGTTAAACCGCGTACAAAACGCAAACCCTCATCATCAGTTTGTAGGTGTTGTATCTCGTGTAGTATGATAATAATGATGGCACGTCACTAAGTAACAATAAAAGAGATTGCAATAGATCATCATGTGTATCGCTGTACTAAATGACAATGGTATTAGACAATCAGTTAGGTAAGGCTGGTAATGTGTCTGTTGAAGATGGGATTCTGATGGTATTGTAATGTCTAAACATATATGTTCTATAGTATGTAAGCATTCCATGGCACCTAACTTCACGCTCCAGAGCCTTCCAATATCTAAACAAGTCTCGGTAGTAATTACACAGGTTTGTGTTACCAATTAAGACAACATACCTTCCCAGAATCTTCTTTATTCCCATGGCTATATGCCCTCAACTATTGCTAGCCAGTTGGTTTCAAAACCAATTCGTACACATTACTTTGCCATTTATAAAACGCTCATATCCCAATTGAGCCATTAGAGATAAAAATGAAAGGCACAATCACTGTTTCTATATTTTAGGCTATATTTGAGGTGATTACATCAGAGATTAGATACTTAAACAGCCTCGATATTCTCATCAACAATTTTGTGAATGCCAAAGAATTTGAAGGTGATAAGTCTCCACTTAGTAAGATGGACAGACATCATCTATTCTCCAATCTAACCGCAGTGAGAGATACAAGCGAAAGGTAGGCAAAACAGCAAAGAAGTAGTACTCAAGACTTCATCAACGTAGATGAAAATCTTATCTTCTAATTACCTAGGATGTTTTTTTCTTCATCCTAGTAATTACTGATCTGTGCTTCTTCTAGACATCTGACGAAACAAAGTACCCGATTTTTCGTTATTTTATGATAAGAGACCTGTTCTCGTACAATCATGGCCAAAATTCAGCATGACGTCAAACATCTAAAATCAATGTACTTTATCTAATAAAATATTAAACTAGAGTGCATAAAAATATACCAAGTATTGTTTCGGTTCTCTTGCTTTAGCACGGATGTATAGCTATTTGATATCGACCCTTATCAATCCTAAAATATCCAGGGTGTAATAAATCCTGTAATTCCAAACCTCACAGCTTTATGGCTAAAAATAGCAATAGGGAATAATGTCTCTATTGGGATTTTCAAAGATTCGTGATAAATTAATATTTACTAACAAATATGGTTATTTTATGCGCCTGTTCTAATCAGGGGATTAAACACGGTTTTACATTAAACTCTCAGACTGTTTTATCGTTCCCATCATTTAGATTTCTTACTCGCGGTTACATAAATTAAGAAGAACCCAACCCAATTTGCATCTTGAGAGATCACAGCCTTCTATTAGCTTGTATTCGCGCACGCAAATAGCGACTTATCGCGATCGGCTACCGGATGAACCTACTATTTTTTTTATTTTATGACCAACTCATTTATATCTGAATGAGTTGCCCTATAATCACAACTGAATTTTGCATTCTCGAATACACGCTTAGTTTGTATTCGCAAATCCAACTAACGACTGTCGGCTACCAGATTAACCCACTATTTTATGACCAATTCATTTAAATATGTGTGGAATAGTGGCAAATACTATTTATACTTAATTGAGTTGCCCATAAATAGTAGGTTAATCCGGTAGCCGCTATTTGCATTCGCGATCGAATACAAGCTTTTAGTTCCTTGCTAGTTACAAAACAAAAAGATCTTCAAAGGAATTTTGCTCTTTTAATAGAAAACAGAATTTGGAAATATCCAAACACATAATTTTACTACCATACCTAACAACCAAAGAAATATCTTTCGATAATAACCCCCTCCAATAATTATTCGTCAGTTCAAGCGCAACACTGGAAATATCTAGTTATGTCTAGTATCATCCAAGGTGTGTCAAAAGGGGTATTAACTATAAGCTTAATATAGGCGATATAACTCATGAGAGCTAGAAAAATCGTGTTAAAAGCATTATCTTTTTTATAGAATTGTAAAAGCACTAGAGGAACGATGGCAGGAAAATTGCATAATGGAGGACATCTGTGAAGTGATATTAGAGCACGCCAGCAAATATTTCGATGTATACGTCACCTACTGCAGCAACCAGATATACCAGGACAGGTCACTCAGCAAATTATCGTAAGTTATCCCCCCGTTCTTCACTAGCGTTATCAATATAATCGAATTAATTTATCATTCAAACATGACCGTGCTCTATTCGAATTTCTCAACCAATCAGAATGCAGCATAGCCAATATAGAACGTTCTCTAATTCTCCATAGATGCACGACCATGCTCTATTCAATCTGCAATTTGCATTGTTTTGAGTGACGTCACATCTCAGCTGCACATCTGGGGCTCTGTCCGGGGAAAGTTGTTCTTTTTTACTCCCTCCGTAACTAATGTAACTTCAGAATCTTGACAGCATGCGCATTCTTCCTTCATGCCCGTTCCACAGACACGGCTTTTACTAATTTTTATGTTTGAATCGGAATAAATAATGATAGGCCATTCAATATGGTGAAATTCAGCACTCGTTGGGCAGAATGTTAGTACAAATGCACTCACCTTCGGTTCGTGCTTTGTACAACATTCTGTCCAACTCGTGCTGAATTTCACCATATTGAATGGCCTATCATTATTTATTCCTTAAATAAATCATAGCCTCGTAAAGGAATTGGAATCAAATATAGTATACACTCTGATATTTCTGATTTACAGCAAAGATAAGCAGTTCAAAGAAATTCTTGCAAAACTTGAGAAGAACCCTGAGGTTCAGAGGATGAGCATGGCCTCGTACTTGAAGCAACCTATGCAAAGGATCACCCGACTGCCCCTACTCGTAGATGCCATACATAAACGGCTTATAGAGGGCACTGATAGACACACGTTTGCATCAAAAGCAAAGTCACTTTTGCAGAAGGTATATTCATAGTAAGAAATACATGAATGGGGTTTAATTGTGCACGGCCGCAGATGTAGGCAATATAAACATAGATATAAGTCATGAAATCAAAATAACTATCTTAACCCTTTCATGACGATAGGCTCCATATGGAGCCCTTTCAGGACGATAGGCTCCTTTTGGCACCACTGTTTTATTTACATACATCAATGAAATGACAATATCTCCAGTTCTATTCAGTATTTTTGCACCAAATTTTGACAAGGTATTGACATGTGATAATGCTTATTAAAAATTGTATTTTAAAGATACAATTTAAAGTATAGGTCCGGGGGTATACGTCATTTTCAGCTTTTACCTAAAAACCACTCTTACTTATCAGTCACAAGGCAAACACTTGCCTCTTATATTCACGTCAGGAAAGGGTTAATATGGATCACACCAACTGCTGCATAATGATGTCAATCTAAAAGGTTCAGATACTATGTATTATTGAATAAATCAAACACAGAAGTGGTAAATAGATAAATCACCAGATTGATTTATGGGTTTCATACGATGCCATCGATACCTTAAAGAGACAGCAAAATGCCTATGCTCTCCTTACAATCATAGTTTTATTATCTGAACAATTCGTTCATCAGAATTGAAAGTGGATTTCAAGTTTTCAAAAGTTTTGCGAAGAGAATAATGTAAAATTTCAACATTTGATTTTTTCAATTCTTCGTTGCCCCTTTAATTTCACATTTCCAAATGTGAGTCATGTATCCTCCTTGCTATGGTGCTAATACCCTTACTTGTAACTGACCCAATTATTTTATCAAAGACCCAACTCGTTTCACCTGTTTTCCATGACCGTTTCCAGATTGTGAAAAAGTGCAACGAGGGAGCTAGAAAAATGGAAAGAACAGAACAGATGGTTGAAATCAGTAACCAGCTCGATTTTAACAATGTTAAGGTAATGTTGCTATTCATCAAGGGATTCCACTATCGGTCGATTGTTCTTATCTTGTGACTCACTCAATCCACCTCCTCGTGTATGTATAATCAGTGTGTTAAACAATTTCAACTCCGGTCACAAAGCAAGATATTTAGTGACTAAGTTGCCTTCAAACCAATGTCGATGCTAAATCAATTACTCTAATGATGTAACCCAATGCCTTAGCTTTTAGACAAGCCATTCTAGTTACGTGCATGTAAAGACCAAATGCCAGTCTGCTTTTCTTAGCATAGGATGAATGGAATGAGAAGCACAAATAACAACATTTGAAGGCATTTTTGAATCAAATCATGAATTATTTTAAGAAGCCTGTTAGTGAGCTCTCATGGCATTATTAAATTTACTTGACGTACTGAATGGGAATTGTTTGATACTGTTTCTTTATGCGTTTGCCCACTGGTTAGAACATTTGCATTGGGTGCTTTTCGGTGTTCCGTCTTCTACTGTATTATTTCTATAATTTGTGTGGGGTTTTCCTTTTGCCCATTGTACCAATAAGTATATATCTATTTATTCATAAGTTGAGTTCTTGTGAAAAGATGAAGCAAGGAAGCACGATAAAAGAGAAACGCTATTTTGATTCAAAGAATTTTCCTGAATTGGCAAGCACACAGTCTGTCTAGTGAAAACGTAAACGATAATCATGCTATTTTCAGAAAATACCGTTGATCTCTGGTTCTCGGTACTTGGTGACGCAGGGACAAGTGCCTTCAGTAGTTGTCACGGACGCTGGTAGTCTCCCGAGAAAGAAACGAGCGATTAGAAAACTGCGACATCTATTTGTATTTAATGACATTGTTATGATTACCAAGAGGAAAAAGTAAGTCATAGGCTTTAACAGTAGACTAGTATACGCGCTGGACATCTATTTATTTTTCATCATTGGGAATTGTACAAATTCAATGTTTGGACTGAGACACTATTAGGATAACCACAAGAACACAACCCTCTATTTTTGGAATGATTTGTCAACGATTGACTTATCTTAATCTTTTTTGTGTAGAAAGTGTTTTAAATGGAGCAAACACATGAAACAGTGATGTACTTATATTGTATAAATCAAGTTTTTCAAGAAAAAAGCGTTTCGCCCCATATAAAGTTTAAACATCATTGATTTATATTATTATCCGAACCAATGTTATCAAAATGTGCTGTTTGAAACTTACACGGGGCCTTTAAGTAATGCACTTGATGTTGTGTTTCAGAGACGACAAATATGTTGTGTTGGACTATGGCGCTCGGCCCCCAATCAAAGTGAGTGAGATCGACAAGAATCAGATATCAGGACATGAGAAACTACCACTTGGTGTACCCAGTGGTTGTGATCATTTATTTGCTCTCACGTTTGCAGATGAACATCAAACAAAGAATGACTATTATGTATTTGGCTGTGAATCAGTGTGAGTCATTTGTATTTTTATATTTTGGATTGATATTTCAAGTAAAAAAAATAGTATTACCGGTGAGGTATGTCCTTTTACCTGTGTATGCATGTAAACTGATAATTGGTATCACATGGTTTTGTTTCCTAATAATTAACTTTTTCTACTTGTGTTTTCTACCTTTTGATTCTCTCGTTTCAACGGCCGTTTCACACTCGTGCGTGCTCTAACATTTTTATAAGAAATACATAAATTAGCATAACGTAGATCTCACTAAGAGTATGTTTTCCTAAAAATTCTCATTCTCATTATGTTTCAGAGTTGCTCGCGAAAACTGGGTACAAGCAATAACAAAAGCCGAGGAAATAAATGAATATGAAGCGATAGGTGAGCCCATTCTAATATTGCATTGAAAAGCGTGTTCAACCTTTTATCTCCTATTAAAATCAGTATTGGATGCAAAACTTTTGATTTAGACGGGGTTTGGTGATGTTCGGTTATTTAGTGTTTTCCAATATTGCTTATTGTGTTTTTTCACTGTAGGTAACATTTGCAGCGAGACGGTAGACATGACAAAGGAGATAGAGAATCAAATCAGTCTTGCATCACGTGACTTTGCAGACGACTTCAGAGTAATGGAGGACGAAACATTTGATCCCAGGACTCTTGTAACACGGACTACATTCAAGCTAGTGCTATCCCTCCTGTTTGGTAAAAAATCAGACATATCCGAGACTGATCAACAGGTATTATCATCCCTTGCACTGGACGAAAACGTTGGCTTTATGTCACTTTGGGGAAAATTTGACTCTAAAGGATATCGCAGGCTCAAGCAATCAGCGGCTACACCAGAACAGCAGGATATTCTTAGAAATATCATAAAAGAGCAAAAGGAGTCGTTTAGCAAATCCAAGGTGACCACTATTTTAGATTGTATACTACAACAGTGCTATAGTTCTAAGACGGAAGAAACGGTTAGCGATGAGCTGCTGCTGAAAGAAGTCAAAGAAATCTTTGGATCCGCATACGAGACTGCATCCCTTTATATTCTATGGACAATAGTTTATCTCGTGCGTAATCAAGAGGTCCAAACAAATATGCGCGATGAACTGAGGAACATTGTTGCGGATCGGCCTGTATCTTTAGATGATAGACAATCTCTACCGTACACAATGGCTACACTTCTCGAAGTCCAGAGGATTGCTTGTGTCGATCCATTTTTTCTCAGTCGTGCAATAGGTTCAAATTGTGCATTCCAAGGTAGGGGATTCTTTTCGTGTTATAAAATAATATCTTCGTCTTTGGCACACGTGCTTACGTATCTGTGTATCCCAAAGGTAATTGGCCGCGTCATACTTAATAAGCGAACGTTTTTCATCTGTAATTTAACATGATATTATTAAGACATCCAGAGAGCAAACGAAACTAACAATAAGAATTAGCATTAGCTCTTTTTGGTTTATAACATTTCCTTGTATATGGTTCCATTAAATGTTCAAATGTTCACGTGGTGGTTCATTTTTTACAGGATGTAGCATACCAAAAGACACAAGCGTATTGTTCAATATTTGGGGTTTGCATCATAACGAAACTTACTGGACAGACCCTTTGCAGTTTGATCCCTCTAGGTAGGCAAAATATGTTTCAATAGAGAGGTTGAATTACACGTTCTTAAGAGAACCTGTACGGGAACGTGTAATATTTCGACCCCGGGATTACTGTCACGCTCTCAGTCCAGACTTTCCTAGGGACCTTATCACAATTATTTTTCGTATACCTAATACTAAGTCGGCCAAGTAAACAGTACAAATGTGAGAACTTATCCACAGAGGACCATGAATCTACACGTTCACGTACAAGCGGAAACCGTGTATCTTTACCTCCCTAATATAAGAAAACATCATGTACATCAATTGTAACATATTCAACTTCCCTGTCAAACTCACCACGCTGATGCTTTTTGTTATTTTGAAGGTTTCTGGATGAAACGAACCAGCTGATAAAGCCGGAGCATTTCTTCCACGTTAGCTCCATGAGCCGCCTCTCCACTGGTGACAACATGTGTCAAATGATGATCTTTATGTTCATCGCCCGATTGGTAACGTTGGTTTCAGTACAGCCAAGCGATGAAGACAAGGTCCCATCAGAAGATGAGAAATATATGTTTACAATACGTCCAGAACCATTTAAAGTCAATGTTGAGGGGAGCCCACTTATGGCATCAACAAATCGACGCCAGTCATCACTTCTTAGGAAAGGAGCCCTGCGTAAAGGATCACCTAGCCTGAAAAAGACACCATCGCCAGTTGAAAGCTTGGCTGATAGTACAAGTTCAAATATATCCACTGACCCTGACAATCTGACTGTATAGTATAGTTAAATCAACAAACATATGCAAGATAAGTAATTCAAATGCAACTGTGCATTCGTAGAGACACAGAGTATTGTAAAATCAATAGAAATATCAGTAAATGACGTGGTGATTCAGCAATAAAACTATTAACAGTTATCTTCAAGTTTTATGGCAGATAAAATAATGTATGTAGTGATTTACTTGTACCAGGTGTGCAATAACTTACTTGCTTTCACACTACAGCTACACGTAGGCCGAATAAACAAATCTAATGTCACGAAGGTGTCTCCGGTGTTTAAAAATCTGGCACTTAATAAACCCATGAGTGTCCATATGGGCAAAAAGAAGGTTCTACTGTTATCAGAACTCTTAATGCACATTTTCCTAAAGTTTTAGAAATAACCATGAGTTAGAACAACCCTGTATACGGTTTATTGAAAATTAAAAAAAATCGAGATAACTTGTATGATTCGACCAATACAGGGTGTGCCAAAAACGTCACTTTTTATTTTGCTACAACTTTATTTTTAAATAAGCCATATATTTCACCTATATATCTACTGGAGATGCAGCATCTTATCAATTGTTCCCAAAATAGCTGGAGAATATCTTTAGTCACCTGGACTCAGTTAACGTGTAGACTGAATCATTGCTCAAAAAGTGTTATATCAACCCTTGCACGAGATGTGCGGTTTCGAATGTGAAGTTTAAGAAAGAAAGCCTGAGTGGAATGAATCAGCGACAATGCATCATGTAATGGCTCACTTTTTCACACATTGCAAAATATTGTAATGACCTTCGATAGCAAGTCGCTACTACAGTCTCAGCTGTAGTGGCTAGCCTTTATGGCTCAGGGGTAGAGCGTCTGACTCTGAGAGTGGAGTGTCCTGGGTTACTACAGTCTCAGCTGTAGTGGCTAGCCTTTCAGTAGGAGGACACATTGCCTTAACCCATCAGTTTTATGACGTGCACATCCGCGTGGGACTATATCTTTACAGCGGGGATTTCAAGTTTTTGTCAGTGCAGACATAGAAAGTTGCGGTTCTCATACGCGCGCGTTTTTTAATATTTTCATTTGAAACTTGCAGGAACGGTGCTTTGAATCTAGCTCTCTACTCTTTGAAAACGCCATGTATAATCAATACAGTTGAACCATTTTTTTTTGTCGTGAAAATATTATTTTTTTAGTTTATTTTTATTTTACAACTTTTTGGGAAAAAATGTAACAAATTCTTATTTCTCGTCATATTTATCCGATATTTTGTCATCATGAAATTCGAGATTCTTTTTAATGATGGTGCAAATTTCATAACAATTGATGAATTTTTATTATCAGTGTTATGTTTTCCAAAAACGATGTACCACTGTGCATGTTTCTTTAATTGACGGCACATTTGCCTTTAATTGGGCGAACGTACAGGTCCCGACGCAATAAGCTTTATTTGATTTAATACACTCAAAAATAAAGTTTGCTATCAAATCGGAATGTTCATAAAACATAAACCTTGCCTTTGTTTTCCCAATTCTAAAAGCAGGCCAAATAAACTATGATAATCGTTTGACTCTCGAGACTACAGAACTTGAACTTGAACATACTAAAATCGAAGTTACCTATAGTTACGCTTGTAAAGTTAATTACATGTTTAACGGCCTGCTGAGTGAATGTATCTTATCAAATTTGTGACATACCCATAAGATCGTAGATCACAATTCTAAGTTTAAAATGTAATTTGGATTCGTAAGAAGTATTTCTGTTTTAAACTTACCTTTGCTGTCTGAAAAAGATCAATATTCATAGACGGGGATGTTGAAACCTATATTTCCTTTGAATGACCTGCATTTGTACTACGAAATGATCCTGTGGAGAAAAGTTGATGAATTCCAAACAGCTAGTTCTAGCAAATCTACTAGTATAAGCTTACTTTCTAAAAGTATTTCAATGTTAAAAATATCTATTCAAGTGTTTCATTTTTAAAATGATCTTGGCTTCCCTTAACTTAAATGTGTGACTAATGAAGAATGCGTTTTACCACATCAAACTTAAGACGTGAACTTGACTTGACTTGACTCGATACATGTTATAACGCGATTTTCTTTCATTTTCTACAAAAATGGTATGTTTTCGAATGGTCACTTATGTTAATCTATGACCGTGGTATGATTGAAAATGAAAGAACTGAACCAAGTATTGTCGACTTGTTTGAATTATAAGATTTATTTTGATTGATTTAATCTCTTCTTGAATTTTAAAACTTTTGTCCGAATTACATCTGCTATGGAATTAAAGTTCAAATATACCTCATAATTGCTTATTGAATTGACCTAGCAATTAATATGAAAATAATTCTTTACATAGGTTATATATCATAGATCATAGATATGTAAAAGATAAAAATGTGTTTTGAAAGATGAATTGATAACAAACGTTTTCGCACACGTGCCATTTCCACTTTCAGCCCATTTAAAGCACGAAATCCCGTATGACGTAATATAACCAACATGCGCAGATAATTGATATTTTTTATTTTAATTCAACTCACATTGACCGTTCAGTTATGAACTTGTTTAAAGTTCTCATGTTAAAATAAATAAATATGTGGAAAGGCAATGGTTTAATTAAAGCTTATGAAAATGTCAAAATCATAATTCAGTTTTTAAAATATTTTGACATGCACTCACGCACATGTGACATTATTTCTTTTTGTGCGATTCAAACATAAAGATCTCATTACAGTTGTACATAAGAACCAATCTTAGCCATGCCTTTCTAATAGAAGGAACTAAATTTGAATCAAAAAATAATTCTATGTAAAGATGATTCCCCATAGCCTAGGTATAATAAATGTCAAAAATGTCAAAAAAATGTATCAAAAATAAAAACTCACACGCTTTTAAGCACGCATGACCTTTTCCAGTTTTGCTCATTTAATTTACCTTGAAAACCAAGGAGACCGAACGCAATTTCTAAATACAACCTTGATACGTGTACCAGGTCTATAATTGCATTTTCTCATGGAAGGAACCAAGCAAAAATTATAAAAATAATTCTGCGTAGAGGTGATGCTTCACAAATAATATTAATGTCAAAAAATTAATTCATTTCTTCAAAATTAAATACTGACACGTATTTACGCACACATGACCTTTTCCAGTTTTGCATATTTCATTTACCTTGAAAACCAATGAGACTGGACGCAATTGCCAAATACTTCTTTGATACGCGTGTCAGGTCTATAATTGCATTTTCTCATGGAAGGAATCAAGCAAAAATTATAAAAATAATTCTATGTTAAGGTGATGCTTCGCAAATAATATTAATGTCAAAAAATTAATTCATTTCTTCAAAATTAAATACTGACACGCATTTACGCACACATGACCTTTTCCAGTTTTGCTTATTTCATTTACCTTGAAAACCAATGAGACTGGACGCAATTGCCAAATACCTCTTTGATACGCGTGCCAGGTCTATAATTGCATTTTCTCATGGAAGGAACCAAGCAAAAATTATAAAAATAATTCTGCGTAGAGGTGATGCTTCACAAATAATATTAATGTCAAAAAATTAATTCATTTCTTCAAAATTAAATACTGACACGTATTTACGCACACATGACCTTTTCCAGTTTTGCATATTTCATTTACCTTGAAAACCAATGAGACTGGACGCAATTGCCAAATACTTCTTTGATACGCGTGTCAGGTCTATAATTGCATTTTCTCATGGAAGGAATCAAGCAAAAATTATAAAAATAATTCTATGTTAAGGTGATGCTTCGCAAATAATATTAATGTCAAAAAATTAATTCATTTCTTCAAAATTAAATACTGACACGCATTTACGCACACATGACCTTTTCCAGTTTTGCTTATTTCATTTACCTTGAAAACCAATGAGACTGGACGCAATTGCCAAATACCTCTTTGATACGCGTGCCAGGTCTATAATTGCATTTTCTCATGGAAGGAATCAAGCAAAGATTATAAAAATAATTCAATGTTAAGGTGATGCTTCACAAATAATATTAATGTCAAAACTTTAATTCATTTCTTCAAATCCAAATACTGACACGCTTTTGCTTTTAGGCACACATAACCTTTTCTCTTTCGTTCATTTTATCTATCTTTAAAATCAGTGAGCCTGAACTCATTGCTAAATACTTTTTGATACGAGTCAGCTCAAGGTCTAAAATTGCATTTCATCATGGAACAAATCGAGCAATCATTATGAAAATAATTCTGTGTAAAGGTGATGTTCCAAAGACAATATATATGTCAATTTGATAATTCAGTTACTCAAAATGAAATATCCACATGATTTTACGCACACATGATAATTTCCTGAATGACGCTACTTTTTGGATTCAACCATGCATGTAACGTCGTAAATACACATTTCTACCCACATTATGCCCAGCCGTTTTCGTAGAAAATGTAACAAATGAAGGCATTTTATCGGAAATGATTGATATTTGGTACTTATAAAATATCGTATTTACTTTAACTTTTAAGCGATTCAGACAATTAAAAAAATTATGTTTAATCAATGTTAATTTCGCACGAATATAGGGTACAAAATGAATGAAAGTCTCACGTGTTTGATTGCATTTTACTCCCATTTATGTGCATTTTTCTAACATTAAAATGAGATAGTTGGAAAGAAGAGATCAGTAGAATTCTATCCGTCACTTTCATTTTCAAATGTTTAAATGTTTCCCGTTTCATTGAACCTCATAAAGATGGTAGCCAACGGACCAGAAACAAGTAGTGCGATGACGTCATATATCGCTACACCACTTTGATATAAAGTTTGGTAAACAACAATGGTTTTTTTCAATGTGTCGTCCTACTGTTTATGGCTCAGGGGTAGAGCGTCTGACTCGAGAGCGGGAGGTCATGTTCCATAGGTGAGTATGGCATATTTCGCGTAACAACTAGAGTAAATAAACAATATAATCAATAAATGATAAATACTCTCAACTTATACAAGCCACATATCAGGATACGAATAAATCCGTTTAAACATTCGTAAACATACATTGAACAATTTGTATTTTATGTCTCAATACTTCCAATAGACTTGCTAATATTATCCATGAAGAGCCATCGATTTCTGAAGCTCTCTCAGTTGCAACCTTTTAGCTGTGATGTATTTACAATGACATAAAACTTTTTTAATCGGGGATTAATGTAGTATTAATTGATAAAATAAATCAGGTGGATAGAACAACCTTGACTCCTAAAAAGCAAAATAACTTGAACTATTATGAAAAAAATCTGATTCATATTCCTTTTGTATAAAATGTTTATATTATTTATGGTAATAATGAAAATGTATACAAACAAATAGGATATTAGTACTAAGTCCTTGTACGTAGGTTGATCATCCGCCAATGTATTGATATGATACTCGCTGGTAACTTGTGAACCTATACTTTTCACATCATTCATCCGGTAGTGTATACCAGTATACATATTTACATAAATGTTCATATGTATTTCAACCATTATTCTAATGAATTATTAGTAATGATTCTGTAGCGTTGCGAAACGAAGAAAAATGTTCTTTGGGATTACCGTTACATTGAGTTTAATAGGACTGCTAGATGGAGGAAGAAGAAGAGGTGGATTTTGCTCTGGTACTACTTTACTTAAATATAAAAATGTGAAATGTGGACGAAGTGGGGAGGAATGTCCCAATACATTCAAATGTATTAAACGAGAATGTTGTGAGTATAAGGGTATACCAAGATGTGAGCCAGAAATGAATTCTGTCACACGAGCACCTTGGCCGTGTAAAGGAGGAGGGAGCAAGCATTGTAGCTCTGGCTATAAGTGCTACGAAACTGCCTCAAATCTGTATTCCATGTGCTGTCTTGATGTAACTTGCGTTGATTTAAGCGGAGTTTCACACAAATGGTACGACAAACCGTGGATAAGTAATGAAGACAAGTGTAACAAATGCAGCTGCCTCAAAAATGGAGAGGTGAAATGTACAGATAAGAGAGGTAATTCAATATACGAGGGTAGATCGTTAAGTTCTCATCATTATTCTTATAATGGCAAATGCTCTGTAGACAGTTCTAGGGAACCGCTGTGGTATCCAGTGGTTTTGAGGCCCCAGCCCTACAGCAAATACATGCTGATAAGTTTGAAAAAATTGTAATCCGAAGAAAACGCTTAATTCTCAAAATACCCAGTATTTCTGCTGGACTAAAAGGCGTTAAGTAAAAGAAAAAAATACTGTCTAAACGGGGTGATCTCTTTCAGGTTGCAAAAAGTGCAAAACATCTAATGGGATGAGGAAAAGTCCCTATTCGTATTGGAAAGACCGTTGTACAAGGTGCACTTGTAAATCAAAGATGTACACTTCATGCACAACTGCTTGTGAACGTGGATTAAAAGGTATTCACAAAAGCTAGGCAAGATAAATCTAATCCTGATCAATCAGAAAACACTAGGCATAAAAATAATTGACCTTGACCCTTAAATTGATAATCAATTTCTTGATTTCAAGTTGGCCGCCCTGCTCACTCTTCCTGCAAGCATATTTTACTGCACCATGATCAAAAGTATTCTCTAATCTTTGTGGTTTTTAAAAAAAACTTGTACGTGAACCTGTAAAATAATGGTACAGTAATCCCCGGGGGTCGAAATATCACACGCTCGCGTACAAGTTCTCTTTAAAACCTGTAAACTCCCTAGTGTTTATTTCCCATGACACATCAAACCATGGTCACATAAGTGAAACGCTGGTGACACTAAAAGTGTACAATTCATAATTAATGCATGGCTAGATTGCAACTTCTAGTTTCTTTAGGTATGCAAACTGTGATTTTCGATAAGAAATTAAAAAAAAGTTATGGCAATTTAAAAATGTTTCGTGCTTTAGTGTTTGTAGAAATGAAGTATGTATCAATAAATATTGCAGGTGATACGAGTATTTTTAATTCGGGGATATTTTCAAGTTAGAGACTACTCCATCTAACAATAATATCAATATACTATAGTATGTAATGTACAATATATTTGTGGTTTTTAGGTGATCTAACTGACTATAGTGCATGTGACCTGAAAGGCTGTGGTAAGCAGGTAGCAGTGCAACAATGCCATAGTGCAGTCGGAGCAGATGGAAACCCTTGCCTTGGAAATACCATTGCAATAAGGACTTGTAATGAAGATAAATGTACTGGTTGTCCTGGTGGACGATTGACTGAGAAAAAGCCTATTATCATCGGAGGAAAAGAGGTGGATCCTCCACATAATTTTCCGTGGATGGTGTTGATTGACTCTGAAGGGTGTGGGGCGGCGCTTATCTCACCAAAGCATGTTCTTACTGCAGCTCACTGTGTGGAAGCTATGCCAAGAATAACTCTTAAGACAGGAAAGCATGATAAAACAAGGAGGGAGGCAAGTGAACAATCAAGAGTCGTGTATAGCAGAAACATCATTATGCATCCAGATTACGATGGTTTGGATAGTGATATTGCAATTATCATTGTCGATCCCCCAATTGAATTGAATAACTATACACAACCAGTATTATTGCCGACAGACCCTGTATTCACCGACAGGACTTTAAACGGAAAGCGGTGCCAGGTAACGGGTTGGGGCAGAAGAGCTATAGATGACTGGAGGGGCTCGAGTGTTCTTCTAGAAGTATTTCTTAAGAAGGAGACATGTAGGCTCAATATAAATGACTCAAAGCAAGTCACTAATAATATGTTCTGTGCAAGTAAAGATGGAAAGTAAGTATAACTAATTCATATCATATATAATCAATAAGCATTTCACCTACGGACAACATGGATTCCAAGTGTGATATCATGATAGGTACGTATTATTGTAGTCTAACTACACGCCCTAGTGACCCCCCCCCCCTTGACTACATACCTCCCCATAAAAGAAGGCGTGTTGTCAAATAGTGTGGGGACTACGGGGAGCTTGTAGCTAGGCCAGTATTTGTACCAATTAAATGTTGATAGAAGTGTCATAATGTGATCGACATTAAAAATTATTGGCGTTTTGTACTAGTTCATGAAAGATTTGCTTTGTTTTTCAAATGTCCTTTTAACCATGATTGCTGGTACACATAAAAACTAAGAAAGGTCGAACACAAAAATGCAAATACAGATACTTGGTCGAGGGTGACTAAGGGTCAAATCATCATGCTTTAAGCTTCCAGTTATAGTACGATAACGTATGTATTATCTTGGTTATTCAAGGGACTCGTGTTTTGGAGATTCTGGAGGACCGTTTATGTGCCGTGATCCAAAAACGAATAAATGGACTCAGTATGGGATTGTTAGTTGGGGGCCATCAGATACGTGTGGCGTGATGTCTGGCGTTTACACCAAAGTTCCTCACTATATTGATTGGATAAATGATATTATATCTACTGATGGGGGATGGGGCGAATGGACTCCATTCACTGACTGTACAAATGGTGCCAAAAGTAGGGCCAGAATATGTACAAATCCAGAGCCAATAGGAAATGGTAAATGCAAAGGGATTGGCAAAGTACATAAAGATAAGAAGACTGGATTGTATGTTGACATTGACGCGGTAGAGTGTTAGGATGTCGGACTCTAACGAGACATGTCCTGGAGCACAAGGAAAAGTCAGAATGAGATATTGTTGACAAGCAGAAGAAAGAAATGTTTAAAACATGCATATCATATCTGAATTTTCTGTACATGTTACTTCTCATGGAATTAATTGAAGTTTAATTACCATAATTGCCTTACATTGTTTGTTGACTGTTAACGTTTGTTAGGCGTTGTGACCATTGATATTAACCATGACTAAAACTATTTCGTTGGAAATTTTACATTTCCAATATCTTTAAAACTTTTTATCCAATCATCTTCTGGTCTTCATTGATGAATTCCACGCTCATTTCTTCAAATTGTGTTGACATTTTAATTTTCTACAATAACACCACCATCCCTGGCTTTGGGTGACAAGGCTAGGTCCCATGATCCCATAATATTAATAATTTGGCAAAACTAAGATTTTGAATTTAGATGATTCTCACGTGTGTATGGCGTCATCATCATATAGTTGAGCACAAGGCGATGTATGTGGTAAATTATATGAAAATAAACTTATATTGAGAATTCTCTGTTGATCCACCGAGTTTTAGGGGACATAGGCTGCCTCAATTCCGAGAAAAGTAAGAGAATTCTCTTTACCCATTGTTCAAGAACGATATCAAAAACCTTTAGAATTATTGCTCTGCAGCTTTGTTGATTATACCAAACCCCACTTTCTATCTATCAATGGTTCTTGATCCTCCTTCTCTATTTAACACAGGTGGAGTTCAAGACAGGTAAGACAAGAAAATGTGCAACATATCTTTAAACTTTGATTCTTTTAAATCTTAACGTTTGTTTCTAAAATGGTGGGAAATTCAAATATTTGAAAATTATTAGATTATTTTTATTAGAAACTTTTTTTTCAAATGTCATATTCTTCAAAAATGTCGCAACATAAAAGGTAATATTTGAATGATCAAACTATGTCCTTTACACGGGGCTTTTAAAAAGATCGAGATGTTCCTCTTAGCTTGATTTATCTTTTTTATTGTATGCTTTGTATTTTTATTACGCTAGGCCTAGTGCTTTCAGAAAACGAGACATAAACCGCAGTCATTTTTCTTAAAACAAGGTCACGAGTCAGTGATATATCGGTCAAGTTTACAGGGCGTTCATAAAGTTCTTGCAAAAGTACTCTATTTTTTGTTTCTCAATCAATTTGACTGAAATTTTCACTCAGTATACCTACACTATTCATACATTTGAATCTTGAATCATAACGAATAGGTCCTTGAAGAAAAAAGTTATGATTGCTATAGTGACACGAGTCAGGGGTAGGCGGAGCAGCATTGAAAAAAAGAACAGATATTGGTTAGAGGTAATTTTAAAATACTTTAAAGTATCCTGGAAAATACAAATAAAGCATAATACAAATCAACCCTAGATGATGTCATATGATGACATCAGAGTTGAAATTTCTTTGTTTCATGACATCACTGGTATCATAGTGACCTATATTGGTTGATGACATCGGACTTTCAATTTTATTTTTGTAAAAATGGCTGCAAAATCAGCTAAAGATGATGATTTGCAATTACAAATATTCAGTAGCATCGGGATGTATGTTTTACTGGGAAATTCAAGAAAACAAACACTTGAAGACATTTCACAGTGTTTGGGAAGGAAGCTATGACCAAAAGAACCATTTACAAGATGGACTAAGACATTCTGATGGTAGAACAAATGTTAGGGACAATGCTAGACCAGGCCATCCAAGAAGAACGAAATCCAATGAGGATCAGATGATGTTAATGAAAGCCATCCATAAAAAGATCAATCGCAAGAAATTTTCCTGATGAGTTCCTTCATCTGTTTGAGGAATGGTAAGTAAGACAGCAGAGGTATATAGACCATGATGGACACTATTTTGAACACATTACACTCTTGAAATACTGTTATTAAAGTAAATAGGACAAGTTAAAAACATTTTCAAACAATTTTCAAACAAAACAAATCCTTTTTGCCTGCTCCGCCTACCCCCGACGCATGTTCCTATAGGAACCATAACTTTTTTCCTCAAGGACCTATTATTATAATTTAGGATCTCAATGTATAAATAGTGTAGGTATACTGAGTGAAAATTACAGCCAGATTGACTAAGATACAACAATTTTAGAGCACTTTTGCAAGAACTTTATGAACGCCCTGTATTCTGTTTAACAGTGTATCTAGCTCTGATAAAAATATTTATGGCTTTGGATCCAAATAGGACTAAAATGGTCATATTGTCTGCAGTTTGGTTGATGCTGTTCGGTCAATGTCTGTGTATGACTATTGAAACAAATGTGCGATCTCAGACGGATTACCTGAATATGTGCATGGACAATACCAAGGCATCACCAAGCCCAGAACCTGGTTTAGAGGTGAGTTATAAGTTAAGGCCGTACAATACTTAAGCATTAAGTATGCAATTATTATCAGTTTTATACCAGCGTCTTCGAGAAAACAATTATTTTCTTGTGACTAATAAAGTTATTTTAATGCAACTGAAAACTTTCGTTTCAGGGTTCTATGTGTCCCACGTTTGCCAATCGATCTTGTTGTAAACCAGGTCCCCTACTAGAACTTTTGCGGAACTACACACTCTCATATGCGCACTGCCCTCAGAAAAAATCACTAGGAGCAACATGTTATGAGAAGTTTATCGAAGAGGGCTGCTTTTTCACCTGTTCCCCCGATCTTGGCCCTTGGATCAATAGGGAACATCCGAATTTTGGGGTATGTTTACTAAAAAAAGCTGATACTATTATCATCTATAATAATCCGCTTGCTATCCCAACGAATTCAAATGAAGATTATACAGTGCAATAAAGCACTTCGTTTGTCAGTCAGTCCATCCGTCATTCAGTCCATCCGACCACCCGGAGCATCTCAAATACCAGTAAATGCATTTTTCATCAAAGTTGGTCGAAATATGTAATTGTTAATAGTGTAACGCCAAAACCTTTTTCCAACATGGCCACTTGACATATATTCGATCCGTAAAAAAATCCAAAATGGCCAGACGATGTTGTAATTGCATTAATTTGAGATTTCCGCAAAGTATGACTAACACTCAATTTATATTTATTTAGTGTACACCAGTATGATATTTTAGATTCATGAATAATTCTTCATTACGGTATCATTACATCTGAGTTTTGTCGTCAGATCATTTATAACATATATAACCAGTATTACATGCTGTCATCAAAGGTCATATTTTATCCTCCTTCGAATTGTGCAATTAATTTCTGTGACTTTTAATAAAGTCCATGAGTTGGAGCGTGGTGTACATGAGCGTGATGGGGAGCATGGTGTACATGAGCATGTGAAGCAGGATGGTAGGGAGCTGGTATAAGCTGCTTTGCTGCACACCTTGGTAGAATCATCAAAGGCAGTTCCAGAAACAAGCATGTTAATGATGATAAAAGCTAGGATTGATTGAGAAGAGGGATATTATTTCAATAACTGAGTAATTCAGTAATACATGTCGAATATATAGTTAAATCGTCTCAATAGTACTGATGAAGTAACCAGAAAGTGGTGAAAAACTTTACCATAAGGGCATTTCATGTAGAAAGGCTTGCAGCAGCTACATGTCTCTCCATTATTGTTGTCACATTCACACCGGCTGAAGCCATTATGGTTGTAATGGTCAGTAAATAGACCACTGGGGTTGTAGGTGCACTCGCCATCACAGGGGTCTGAAATCATTTTCAGTTATTTATCCCTTATTTAATTCCAATCACAGTTAAAAGTCCCACTTTGGGAATTTTCAACATTTTTGAGCACTATAAAGACTTACATTTAAATTTCATTGTATGTCCAATGTATTCATAAGAACCTTATCTTTCATTTGACTCCAACAACAACTCAAATGGACCACACCAAAGCTTACAATAAATTATCAAAAAATTTTGATCTGTCAAGCTTTATATATCAAGTTTTTATCAATGTCATTGAAAGATGGCAAAGTATTTTTATAGAAGTGATTCCATCTTTTAAATCAATAGTAATTTAAAAAATGCAAAAAAGATAGAAAATAGGATTTTAGTACTTAAAGAACCAAGATACATTACAGCTCCAACGCTACTGAAAACAATAATTTGACATCACACTATTTATCCAAATTATAATTGTTACAGGAAAAGAATTCACTGCGTAGGTTACCTATATGTCAAAGTACTTGCGAACGATGGTATAACGCATGTCAGAAGGAATACACGTGCTCAAATGACTGGTTCCTTGGATTGAACATATCAACTCAAGGTAAGAAACCTCAAGATTTATTACATACATGCATAGGACGAGTGAATTATTATTATATTAGCTTAATTGTACGACATTTTACCACATTTGGGCAAGTAGAACAGCGACATTAAAATATGCCAAATAAAAAATTTAGTTATAAGCATGCATTTATAATTAACGATTTGTGTCTGGCTAAACTAAAAGCATGTGATGACGTCGATCACAAAATGTCATTCGTTTCTTTGTATGAAACTTCTTTTTCTTAACAATATATATTTGTTTCAAAAATATATGCCTGAAATTATTCATTTGGATTAAGATTAGCTTAAAAGTTCATAATTCTTTGTTTGTTTTCGTTACGACTGATTGTATTCTAAAATGTTCCCTTTTTGTCCTGTTTTTCAACACTTTTTAGTCTTTTCTAAGTTAATGCCTTTTAAAGGTGAGTTAACGAGTTAAAGCAAAAAAGTGGACGGACCCTTATAGTATTTACATTTTCGGCCCTTACCAAGAAACTATTGCATGGAACCCATATATTTCTACACTGCTTAATTTCATTTTCAGATGGACAGATGAAATGTCTTGATGAATCAAAGTGTGACAAGTATGACAAGCACTTTGACTCTGCCAACAGCTTTTGTGAGCAAATATGGGACGACGCTTACAAAGTAGTTTCTGATGATGAACCGTGCATGCAATTCACATATGACACTTCTGGTGCCGAGCGAAATAAGGCAGTGGCTGAAGCTAGAGCTAAGGAACTCGCTTCAACAGATGGTTCATCGGCTGGCTCACCGAATAATTCAGTTTCGCTCATGCTTACTAGTTTAGTCGCATACTCAGTTGTTTTTGTACTTACAGTGTAGACATAACAAGTTACAACACTAAAATGAGAACATATCTTTAGTGCAAACCTTTGTGTCGAATGTGTTATCAGAATTGAGGTCATCTTTCATTTGACCTGCTTTCTTAAACAAAACTCAAACAAAATGCCCAAATGTAAATGGTTGTATTTTAAGGGAGTACTTTACTCTTCAAAATAAAAAAAATGATATGGAATTTTACTGTTTTATACCTTTTGAAACATTAACAGAAAGAGCTACGATCTTAAACACTAATATATCATCGTATGTCACTGAGGTACATCTAGCTACATGTACGTCTTACATAAATAAGGTTCTAAACTCGAGTATTCCAATTCTCTGGATATGAATCAATTTGAAAATAAATAGGGCTGATTTTTACACGTTAAAATCTAGAATTCCACAAATTAAATTTTATATTTTGTGTTTGATATGTTTGTGTCATTCAAGCCTTTGAGTATTATGAAGTTACATATCAATACAAGGAAGTGGCAATATAGCTGAATAACGCTGAATAAATAAACGTCAACACTTGTTTTTATTTGTTTTGTTTGAGCCAGACTACCATAGGCTTCAATGGTAAAAGTTGCAATGGTTGCAACTCAATTACATGGTTTACCATAATGTTTTGGCTTTTTTGTTTGAAAGTGAAATGACATACTATGGTCATGACCCGTTAATGGACACATTACAATAAATCATGAAAATGTTGGTTGTTGAATGATTAAACCAAGGTTCTAAAGAACCTTAACATCGCATCAATGGAGATTTGGCCCACACTTTTTTAAAAAAGATGAAAAGTATCAATCAAAGTTATCATTGTGGATAACTTTCCCTGAATACTAATTTGCTATTAAAATAAATAAATGGTACCGTGGGTACTGGGCTCCCGTGGTGTTGCTCAAAAGTGAATGATGGCTAAAATGGCCGAAAATGGAGTGACATGGTTTTAAACAATGCAGGACACCTGAAATTATTTGTAAAGCTAGGAAATGGGCCACAAGAGATATCGCAGGACAAAAATGGCGACTATTTTGAAATTAGGCGAGCTTTTGAACCAGGAGTCATAAGGGAGTTTTCTGTATTGATGCTGAACAAAAATAACTTAAAACAGGAATGCTATCGACAGATGGTTTAAGGCAAAAGGTCCAAAAGTGGATTTCGTGAGACATATGGACAAATCAATGTTAACTAAAATGGCTGAATATAAAAATAGATAATAGATAATAAAAAAAATATGAAAATAGGCGAGCTTTTGAACCAGGAGTCATAGGGAGGGGGGGGTTCTATATTGATGTTGAACAAAAATAACTTAAACGGGAATCCTATTGACAGAGGTTTTAAACTGGCCAATTGTTGACAGACAGACAGACGGACAGTCGGACAGACAGACAAGTGAGTGATTGCAATAGCTCACCATGTGAGCTAAAAAGTAAGTCATTAGAGGTTTGAAATGCAAAAATCTCTCAAAATCTCACGGAACGAGAATAAGCGAGATTCCAAAGCTATATAGAACTCCTATTTTAGTGCGCCACCGATTTGAACTTAAAATGTCAGTGAACAAATATATTTATGAGGCATTGATATAGAAATCGTATTTTATCCAGGTGAATGAATAAATTACTTTGTGTTATTCCATTGGACTTGAGGATAAAGACATTGGAGATACTTATGAAGCTCTTTAAACTGTACATTTTCTATTATGACGTATTTAAAATGACATGAAGTAATTGAATAGAGAATTAACGTAGTATTAATTGATGGGAAATCAATCAGGACAATAGAGCAATTTGCGAAAATACCAAAATTAGAGTATAATAGGAATTGATATGAAATACTAACTCCATATCAAATGTTTGTTCGTATATAATCGTTAAAATCAATTTATTGTAATAATAAAATGACTGAGCAAATAACAAAAGGTTAGTCAACCTACAACATTCATACGATCCTGGTTGGTGGTTTGAAGACTATAGTTATCATGTTGTCATGGTTAGTGTATTTACACAGATGTTCAATTATATATCTACCATGTTAGAGATCAACAAATGATTAAAAAGCAAAAGATACGTCCTGTATAATTCAAATGAAAATGTTCTTCAGGATTACAATTACATTTTGTTTAGCGGGACTTTTACGTGCTGAAACTTGTAGGAGGAGCAATTTATTAAGATATGAAAATGTGAATTGTGGAGGAGGTATCCGTTGTCCAAATACATTCAAATGTATCAAAGGAGAGTGTTGTAAATATAAGGATTTTCCAGACTGTGAACCTGAAATGAATCCTAAGACCAACGCACCTTGGGCATGTAGAGGAGGAGGAAGTAAGACGTGTAGCCCTGGTTATGTGTGCGAGGAACATGACCAAAATGTATACACTGCTTGCTGTCTCAATGTCACTTGTGTTGATTCAAGTGGATTTTCACACAAATTTTACGACAAGCCATGGATAAGTAATGAAGACAAGTGTAACAAATGCAGCTGCCTCAAAAATGGAGAGGTGAAATGTACAGATAAGAGAGGTAATAAACGATATCACACCATTTTTATAACAAAACTCATTTTGAAAACACGCAAGAATATTGCCAATGAAATGAACTTGGACGTTCTATTTGTGGCCTAACTATGAATTTCTAAATGTAAAACGGAACGCTCTAATTGTCTTGTATTCGAACTTGCACAAGAAACTATAAAATAGTATAAATAAGGTTCAACTTTATTTTATTAGATCATGATAAAATGTCAATGAAAACAAACAATGCAGCATATAATGAAAAATGGTAAAATTCGAATTTCGCATTTCGAGCGCGCAATTTTGTCATAGTACATGAATATCACACAATACATAATATTTATTACTAACACATATAAAGTGGATGTGAATTCTCTTTTTTTATTACTAATAAATCACTAAGCAGATGCTAAATGCTATAAAACTGAAATTGTCATGATGCATATATAACATGTTTGTTTGATGATTTTTATCAGTATTTTATTATAAATTTTAATTGATAACCTTGACGTATAAGAACAATTAAGTTTTGTATGTGTAAAATATTAGAACGGTCACCTTCTTATTGAGATCTACACAAGATAGATGTTTGTACGCATAATCTTTTCAGGTTGCAAAAAGTGCAGAACACCTTATGGGTTGAAGACAAGCCCATACCAATACTGGAAAGACAATTGTACACAGTGCACGTGTAAGTCAAAGCTGTATACTTCGTGCACAACGGCTTGTGAACGTGGATTGAAAGGTAACATTTTTTCAAGGTGTCCAATTGTTCACCTCTGGATGACAGACCAGCTTAATCTATCTAATAATCGACACCAATTGTTGTATGTATACAAACGACGGTGTTCTCTTCAAATAATATTGTTGCTGTTCAATATAAACTCTCGTTTCATCGAGGACGTGGACTGATATTCACCGAGTAGTGTGAACAAAAAGTCTTAGTTGAATTTTGATTTTAGTGAAGGCAAAATTAAGTTATATCTCATCAATGACGAACAAGGGTTCGATTTTTTGTAACAAAACACTGATTTATAGATCACAACAGGATCTTAAGAGGTTCTGGACAAATCATTTGATTCTGGACTTGTCATATTTTTTTTTCAACGAAATCACATCCAAGGGTTGAATTTTTAATAGCTATTTAGAGATTGAGTCCTGCCTAGTATTGATTTCAATAAAAAAGTTAAAATAGAACCCTATTTGAGAGTCAATCTAATACTTACATTACATTGATAAATTAAGGCAAATCCTGAAATATTTTTAAAGTGCATTTTTTATGAAATATTATCCAGCAAGTATTTAAATGAAACGGTCTTAAATACAAATCATAACATGATGATATTTTTCATGAAACATTTTTCAATGAAATTCAATTGAAGGGTCAAGATAAAACGAGCTAATTTAGGTGAAAACCCTTACATGATGATGTGTTTTCATAACTTCTTTCATAAAATTCCATCAAGGGGTGAAGATAAAATGATCGAATTTAAGTGATTTAAGGATCACGAGAATATGTTTTCTTTGATATTTTCTATGAAATCCCATCCAATGGTCAAGGTAACATTTTGATTTTGATTTTGATTTGGTCACGTGTTCGAAAGATCCATATAAGGCCCATAGAACCATATAGGAACGTCATTTTGAATGTCATGTGATAGATCCATATAAGGCTTTTAGAACCATTTATGGAAAGATGAGGGGAAGCCCCTGACACCTGTTTCACGATTTTTATGCACTTCATTATTGTACCGAAGTTTGCCGATTCGATTCGTCGTATTTCGGAATCCTGGTGACAATTTTATACTCCATTGGAGTATTTTTGACCTACTTCTTATGACGGAAATTCCCGAACCTTGTTCGGATTAATTCGGATTTTCTGACCTACTTTATCTACCGAGATTTCACGAGTTAACATTCGTCTCATTCCGGAATCCTGGTGACAATTTTATACTCCATTGGAGTATTTTTGATCTACTTTTTCTGGATTTTGCCCTACTTATTATATCTTGACAACAAGCAAATCAAAAAGTTCGACATGAAAGGGTCTCGATCAACTAACCTAGACAATGGAAGCCAGGCACGCTAACCATGAGGCCAACGAGCTATCGATATGAAAGAACAAAAGTATTATATATTTATACCGAGCGCCAATTTAAAATGATCCTCACTTTTGTCTCCACTTAAATACGACTCGTCATTTTAGTTTGGAAACATTAATCTCTGATAATTTAAGGTTTTCCACTCCTGAAGGGCCTCTAGATCTATGAAATTCAATAATCCACTCAGTAAAAATACGATTTCTCTGCAACCTGATGTCCAATCAAGATCATTCAAATATATATGTGTTCCTGACACGTTTGGGCGTCCGGGAATAAAATTGCTTGTGAAAACTATTTACAAAAGTGTTCCAGAGACCCTTATCTACTTGGCTAAGGTTTTATTTGAAGATACATTGCCTTATTAAGCAGGTAGAGGGGCATACAGAACACAGAAGCAAATGCTATGTCGAAAATTTTCTATATTTCAATTTGAACCTGTGTTTACATGTCACGTAGGCCAGTGTTTTATATGGGGATTATATGTACTTTCCTTGTTTACATGAACGTAAATCATTACATGAAATCTGCATTCTTCTGGGTTTAAGGTACAGCTGGAAAGTAACATTTTGGTAAAAAATTGCTATACCTGCACATGTTATTTTCTGGTACAAAATAAAGTATGAAGCCATGTGTCAATTTCCTTGCTTTTTTCAGGAAAGTATCATTACATTGTCTTCTTTTAAAATATCTGGTAGGCGTTCAATGGGAACTCCAGGAAATTCTGATATTTCACACTTTCTATTTTTCCAAATTTTCTTTCAAAGTTTCCAGACAACACAGGAGCTACCATTGACCTGTTTCCAGATATTCTAAAAGAAGATAGTGTAATGATACTTTCCTGAAAAAAGCAAGGAAATACACATATGCCTTCATACTTAATTTTGTACCAGAAAATAACATGTGCAGCTATAGCAATTTTTTACCAAAATGTTACTTTCCAGTTGAACCTTAATCTGGGTTTGTATTGTCTTATTGGGGCTTTTCGACTTTAAAACAAACCCTACCTAAATGGATTGTGTCTCGGGAACGTTTTTGTAAATAAAAAATTCTGAAAGAATATCACATATTTTTGTCTTCCCGATTTCAGTCATGAATTACGTCAATTTCTCGTGCAAACATTGGGTAGACGTTGTCGTAACCGGATGCCCGCGAACGTGTCAGGAACATATAGATACTCGAATGATGTTGATTGAACATCAGGGTGCAGAGAAATCGTAATTTTACTGAGTGGCTTCACGAAAAAATAAGCAGCACTTTAGGCCACCTAAATACAACTCGTCAGTTGTATCCAGTTGGAATCCCAGCGTAATGTTTTTAATTATATGGTTGTGCTTTGATTTTACGCTGAGAACATTTATAACTACGTCAACTTTATATTAAAACATTTATTATCTTTTCAGTTGTATTAAAATGTAAAATATGATATATATGTCAGCTTATTGCTTTCTGGAGAACAATCAAGGTTTAAATTTGGTACAATGAATCGGACACTCATGTAAATCGACATGGTTATAACATTGAACTCAATGCAGTAAATTAGTTATTTCTATGAATCACAGCGGGATTGGTTTCATTTTATATGATTGCCAACTCTGGCGTTTTTTTGTAAATGCTTTTGACCGCTGTAAATGTGAAACTGATACAGTATTATTCAATTGTTTTATGTCTTGGTCACATTTGCTCCGATTTTCACTACGGCGCCCGGCCGATTGAGTATTGTTAAGAAATGTATTCAATTTTGAACAAAATACTCGCAGCAAATGTGATCCAGGCATTACGCAGCGGTATTTCGAACATACTATTGTTGCTTAACCACGACCTAGCCAATTTTAAAATCATACTCCTTATTTAAATCCAAGTAAACGATCAATGTCTAGGTATTTGGCGTTTGATGATACTATGGCCCTTGGCGAATTATGATTAGATGAACCGAGGTCAACATTAATGTTTCTTGTACAAGGTCATCCCAAGGTCAAAGATAAATATTTAGGTATTTTACGTTTCAAGACCTTTGGACAAATTCGATTCAACGATGTATTAAAGTTAAAATGTATACAGAGATAAAATAGGTTATCTCCTATCGTTTCCTTGTGTATACGTTTATGTCTCTGCGTAATAACGCAGATGCGAGCAGGTAGTTACCAATCTCACCAGAAGCTGCTCGTTCGGGTCAGATAGCATGGCGGGCATGGTAGAAAGTTCCCTTTAACTTAAAGTTCATCTGTTTTCGTGGTTCAATTTCCATATCACCCTTAAAATGTATCTAATAGCAATGCAAATTAAAATATGTCCAGTGAACGAAAATGCAATACAAGAATAGATATTTCACTTTTTGTGATTTTGTAACAATGGGGTTATTTTTTGTATATGTAACATGGTCATTTTCACATTTTATATTATTACTGTTCATATTAATCAATCCCTATTCATCTCAATATAACAGGTCCCTAAGTAGGTTGTTTGCAGTTTTACTCTTTTAATACCATGTTCACTTTTCACCTTTTATTGAAACCAGTTATTCAACTATGCAAACTGTGTCAGTTTTATATATCTATTGTTCCCCTATATGGTCTTTCTCATTCACATGTAGCTGAGTTTGCATTGGGTGTTGGCTTGTCAGTAGTTGTTGTAAGAGTTCATGTTGTACATTACAGAGCATTGTATTTTAAACATTGAAGTTTGAAATATACTATCTTATATATATTTTAATTTGAAGTTCGAGTTATTTTATTGCCACCCACGGGCCTTCCACACGCCTATTTACATATAACGCTTTGAAACAACTTTAAAAAGTGAGCAATGTCAGTGTTGTGATAATAGAGAATTTTCGTTATAAGTTGTTTCAAACTTATACGTATACTTATAGTTTAAAGGGTCTTGTCGAACTAAAATCAATTCAAATTGATTTTCATAATCTGTACCAAGTGGGGCATAACTATTCCCGATATAGTCAAGATCCATCATCAACTAGGGACTGTGAATACAATGTCCTTTGCTAGTGTCAATTATGAACACGATAAACTAAATGCTAGTTGACGGGTCCTTGTAGTGTACGATAAACAAGACCCTTTAAAGTGAATCACTACACGAACGAGTCGATCATTTCAAAGTTCTCATGAAATTATAAGGTCAATTTTTAAGTTTTTACGTATAAAAGGGCCTTTATACGCAGATCATAAACTTACAGAGTTGGATCTCCGCATAGTATATGTGTGGACCTACTGACCAGAATGGCTTATTAAAATTAATCGGCTGAATAGGCATAGTATCCAATCAAATAGCTCGACTCATTCATTAGCTGAACTAATTCTCCCTTCGTTATTTCTACAAGGTGATTCAAAACGATCATCTACAAAAAATATATTTGAGAGTAGATAAATCTGTAAAACCCGTGTGCTATATCAGCCTATTTGATTCTAGAAAACACATATGACACAACTAAACATGCTTTACATCAAGGGGGTACGGATGGTATGCCATTGGCCCTTTTTATTACCGTCCTAGGAGATATTTCCCGACGAATTAGGAAATTATGAAACACCTTGTTTATTGGGTTTATAAGTATAAGTATACGTATAAGTTTTTAAAAAACTTATAAGGAAAATTCTCTAATAACGCCCCTCATACCTATTTATTACAGGTCGTGTAGACCATTGTTGCCTGATTTATAGCAAAAACATTGACTTTTGCACGTTGATGATGATGATGATGATGATGCGCCTTTTATAATAGATCTCATATCTTAGAAGCGTATCAGTTCAAAAAATACTAGAAGACCTTACATATTTTGCCATGCACTCCGCCTATTCATTTGGCAATTCAGTTGTAAATTTTATCTTGAAAAAAATAAATCTTCCAAATTTGTTGAATTTTCTTGCAGAAATCGCCTACCCCCCCCCCCCCTCCATCCATTTTGTATGATCACAAGGCGTGATTTAAGCTGCTGATATTCTTCTTTAAACGAGTCGGATTTTCAAAATCTATAAGTTGGACTCCCTTTATAGAAGCTTTGAACTGAATTTGCACTGCTTAATGCTGAAATTTTATTGTTTATCCATACATTTTAAGAAAAAATGTATAAAAAAAGATGTTAAAGCCAAATGTTGCCCTAAAAATTCAGAAAATGTAAAAAATTTCGAATTTTCTATGTACAGGCCTTGTTGCCCCTTTAAGAAGCTTAATATGTAAATTATCTAATCAAACACTTCGTCCACCATTTTGAAACACTAATCAATCCAATCTGTGCTAGCGATTCATAGGGCGAGCCAGTGGGATATTTCCAGGGTTCGTACACACCTGGAAATGTCAGGGAAATTGACTTGATTTTCCAAGTGCTGGAAATGTCAGGTAATTTTAAAATTAGGTCAAAAGGGCCAAAGATGACCGGGAATTTTGAAACGGTAGACATGTCAGGGAAATGTCAGGGAAATTTGTATCAGTGTTGAAAAATTATGTTCCAGAGATTAATGTTTGCAAACTGTTTTGAAACAAACTAACGTCTTGTTTTCAACCTACACCTTGCTCCTTTCTGTCGTATTTAATAAAACAAAAATAGTATATCACGGAGGGATACGAACCACTCACCTGGGACTTGGTTATTCACTAGCGCCATAGGCGTTCTACTATTCTGGATACAACTGACGAGTCGTATTTAAGTGGAGACAAAAGTGAGGATCATTTTAAATTGGCGCTCGGTATAAATATATAATACTTTTGTTCTTTCATATCGATAGCTCGTTGGCCTCATGGTTAGCGTGCCTGGCTTCCATTGTCTAGGTTAGTTGATCGAGACCCGTTCATGTCGAACTTTTTGATTTGCTTGTTGTCAAGATATAATAAGTAGGGCAAAATCCAGAAAAATAGATCAAAAATACTCCAATGGAGTATAAAATTGTCACCAGGATTCCGGAATGAGACGAATGTTAACTCGTGAAATCTCGGTAGATAAAGTAGGTCAGAAAATCCGAATTAATCCGAACAAGGTTCGGGAATTTCCGTCATAAAAAGTAGGTCAAAAATACTCCAATGGAGTATAAAATTGTCACCAGGATTCCGAAATACGACGAATCGAATCGGCAAACTTCGGTACAATAATGAAGTGCATAAAAATCGTGAAACAGGTGTCAGGGACTTCCCCTCATCTTTCCATAAATGGTTCTAAAAGCCTTATATGGATCTATCACATGACATTCAAAATGACGTTCCTATATGGTTCTATGGGCCTTATATGGATCTTTCGAACACGTGACCAAATCAAAATCAAAATTTTACCTTGACCATTGGATGGGATTTCATAGAAAATATCAAAGAAAACATATTCTCGTGATCCTTAAATCACTTAAATTCGATCATTTTATCTTCACCCCTTGATGGAATTTTATGAAAGAAGTTATGAAAACACATCATCATGTAAGGGTTTTCACCTAAATTAGCTCGTTTTATCTTGACCCTTCAATTGAATTTCATTGAAAAATGTTTCATGAAAAATATCATCATGTTATGATTTGTATTTAAATAAGACCGTTTCATTTAAATACTTGCTGGATAATATTTCATAAAAATGCACTTTAAAAATATTTCAGGATTTGCCTTAATTTATCAATGTAATGTAAGTATTAGATTGACTCTCAAATAGGGTTCTATTTTAACTTTTTTATTGAAATTAATACTAGGCAGGACTCACTCTCTAAATAGCTAATAAAAATTCAACCCTTGGATGTGATTTCGTTGAAAAAAATATATGACAAGTCCAGAATCAAATGATTTGTCCAGAACCTCTTAAGATCCTGTTATCACATAAAATTGATTTACGCTGCATGGTAAAACATTTTTGAATACCATGATGGTATCATGAAAACACATGTGTCTATTTGAAATCTGGAGATTCGGGTAAGATCTGGGTGACAAAACTGCAGCAACTACTTTCTCAAATCATAAATGTACAACTTCAAGCAAAACATTCATCCCATTAAATTGAGAGTTACCTAGAATCTGAAATGTAGAAAGTGTGAAAACTGTCCAGAATCGCATATAATTATTAGAAAAAGTGGGAGCCGTAAAGCTGATTGCTGTGTAGCGATAAAATAAATATGGATATCGAGCTACATATTTATTTTTATTCAAACAAAATCTCTAATAATATTGTAACTATCACACCACGTATTCCTCATTGTAGATAAGCTGACTGACTACACAGCATGTGACGCAGATATGTGTGGTAAACAGGTAGCCGTGCAACAATGCCATAGTGCAGAAGGGAAGGATGGAAATCCTTGCATTGGACATAAAATTGCAATAAAAAGCTGCAATGAAGTTGGAACCAAATGTACTGGAAGACCTGGTAAACGATTGAAAGAAAGTACGCCTATTATCATAGGAGGCCTAGAAGTGAATCCTCCTCATAATTTCCCGTGGATGGTGCTTATAGACTCACAAGGCTGCGGGGCATCACTTATCTCACCTAGACATATTCTTACTGCAGCTCATTGTATGACAAATAAGAAAATAAAAACTGTAACTCTGAAAACTGGCAAACATGACAAGACAAAGAAAGAAGAGGGTGAACAATTCAGAGAAGTGAACAAATCCAGCGTAATAATACATGAGAATTACAATGCTACGTCTCATGATAATGATATTGCTATCATCATTGTTCATCCACCAATTAAACTAGATTATCATACACAGCCGGTGTTGCTGCCGACTGAACGTTCATTTACATACAAAACTGTTTATAGAAAACAGTGCCAGGTAACGGGCTGGGGCAGAACAGCTATAAATGACTGGTGGGGATCAAGCGTTCTTCTACAAGTAGTTCTCAAGAAAGAGGCGTGCAGACTTAATGAGACTGACTTACAGTATGTAAACGATAATATGTTCTGTGCAAGTAAAGACGGAAAGTAAGTAGGCCTAGAACTACTATTTAATTTGCAAAGGGATGTATCAAGTGTTCATACCAGTACATAATGAATGTAATGATACTAATGAAGGAGTAATAAAAATTGGGCAGTTACATTTTGGGTAATAGTATATGAAAGTCCGTCTAGCCTAAGTGGGTTCACTAGACAGACAGGCAGGACAATCAAATACAAAAGCAGAGAAAAGCTATGACATCACCGCACAAGATACATGTACTTTGTACACGGTGAAACGCAAACCACAGCCCAATATATTGATGTTCAATTATCTTAATCATAGTCAAAGCAGAAAATCTCAAAAAATTCTGAAAATTTTACACAATCGTGAAATTCAATTGGCCTTTGATTTAGTAAGCTTAATTTTGATTATTTCAGGGATTCATGTTTCGGGGATTCTGGAGGACCGTTCATGTGTCGACATCCAAAAACGCGGTGTTGGACTCAATATGGGATTGTTAGTTGGGGGCCATTAAACTCGTGTGGAGAAATGTCTGGCGTTTACACCAAAGTAAGTAACTACATTGACTGGATCAACAATATAATATCTACTGATGGAGGATGGGGCGACTGGACGAATTACACTGATTGTGCAAATGGTATGAGAAGCAAAGCAAGAATCTGTACAAACCCAGAGCCAATAGGAAATGGTACATGTCAGGGAGAGGGTAACGTTTTTAAGGATGAGGAAAGTGGACTGTATGTGAATATCTACACAGAAAAGTGTGAAAAAATGTGATAAAACTGGAACAGATAAATATGTATAGCAAAATTAGCTGATCTGATCTGAATTTACTTGTAAAAGCTACTTGTTATGGAATAAATTAAAGTTTATGGTCATCCGTACATTTTCAAAATTAAGAAGCGTTGAGGTAGTTACTAATTATAGAGTTGAGTTTGCTGATAGCAAATGGAAGAAAAGACTAATTTGAGCAAGATTGATTATTATGCATACTTTCCCCTATTGTCTGCTCATTGAATGATTTAGTCTGAGATATCGCTTTGTCTCAACATTGATTTCGATCCCAAGATCTCCCGTGATAGATGAATGATAAACTTAATGTAATAGCTAAAATTTCATTTTATCATCCATATTTTCTAGTTTCGGAACCTGAACTGAAAAATTATTTGATACAAAAGTTAAATTATTCTAAGACTGATTTGCATTGAAATCACAATTTTTTACTTGGCGCATTTCCAATAAATCTCAAGGGTCTGCATCGGGGCAGAAAGCTTAGCAGTAAATCAGCTATCATGGCTTTTCACGAGTTTGGAGATGAAATAATTATAAATGCCAAGCTGGTTTTACCTAATATTGACAATGTTTCCCAACTTATATTGCATGCCTTAAAGTGTGCGCCTGACCCGGCTACGTATAGCACAGAGTTTATACTGGTGGATTAGACTAGTTCATTTTTTATATGTGTGTGAAAGCTTTCTCTTATTTGCGTTTTTTTTGTTTAGTACGGTTTTGTTATAATTGCCGAGGTCATATAACCGGGATAAAACAATGATTATCGTTGACTGCCCACACACAAAACATACGTTGAGTGAACAGTGTTATTACAAACAACAGGCTTTAGAATACAAAGCGTAGTGTGATAATAAGCTGCACACTACCACTGCTGCATGTACATTGTACATATTACTAATGTACTAGGGCTCCCAAAGAGTGGATAGGGAGGTTGTGTTTGTCACTTTTAAATTTTACATTTCAAAATTGTCATTTCACATGTCATAATTTGTTGGTTTCATTCGTTTAGCCAATCAAAACATTGTAAAACAATAAATTGTCTGTTACGTACAATCAATTTTGTTCAGTTTTCAAAATACTTCAAAATACTTCAGTGAGATGAAGGCTCGGAATTGTCACATGCAATAACTTATTGTCGTATTCATTATTTTATCTTCTCGATCAGGGGCGGATCTAGGAACCAACAAGGGGGGGCCCAAATTCCAGGTCAGATAAAAAAATGTCCGCGCTTGCGCGAAAAAAAATTTGGGCCCCTAAAATCCAAAAGTGGGCCCAAATTTTGAAAATTTGAGGCCCATTTTCTTCAAAATTTGGCCTGAAATTAAAAAACAAGGCCTTAAAAGGCCCAATTTTTTTTTCTGGGCCCCCCTAATCCGCCAGTGTCGATAGTAGCATTTAGTTGCACATTTGATGCCAGGTCACCTTGTCGCGTACCTCTTGGGGAACCCCACATTTATGTGTGTACTCATGGAAGTAAATTCCCCGGTGTAGCCGAGAGCCACAAACTTTTCAACAGGTTCGAAATGACCAATTTCTCTCATATATACTCTAAATATTTTATTATTTAGCACCTACAAAGTATTGCTAATAACCCTATGTAATTTCAATAAGGAAACTTATCTGGCTACATATAAATTCAATATCAACACTAGCTGTTCTCTCAACACGTCCTGGCTTACCTTGTGGTGACAAACCCTGGATTTTCGCTATTTATAGTTTATCAACACCTGGACGCATGCGCATTTTATACTTTATCGGGCACTTTAAATGATAATGTAAATTCTGCCGATTTCACAATTTTCGTTTTGCGACATTCATATCACTTTAGAATGAGATATACACTACGTTTGGCAACCCTACCCCTATCCCTTCCCCAGTAGGTTATTGTTGAAATTCCGATGTTAAACCAATTGGAACTGAACAATTGGTCACAAGTCATATGTATATATCCATCTATCCTAGTTCTCGCAAAAAAATGTAAGTCAGGTAAAAAATTGAAACTGCAAACTTTGTTCAACAAAAGGATATGTTTCTTCACGGTCAACAAAGTTATAGGTCTCCAAAATCAACAGTATTTTTCAAGATACCCCTCCCATTGATATAATACAGGAGGCGAAAAATTATTTTCAGAAATGACTAAAGCTATGTAACTTTAATGTTCACAAAGTAAACTTAAGACTTTTGTTGCAAAAAGGTTAGACAATTCAATTTTCTAAATACAAATATTTTTGGTGGAGCATTTACTAAATAGATAACCAGAAATCTGATTTGCCCTGATCTCACCATTTCCCATTGGTTAACATGGGAATGACGATTTTTAAAAAATCATCAAAGGATATGTATCGATATGGTGAACTGAATTCAACAATGCTTTTCTCTTAAACCAATTATTGAAAACATTCTGTAAAAGACATGGTCCTTTATGTAATGTTGACTGATTGGCAACAATTAAATGCAAAATATATCTATATATATATATAACTGTTTTTGTTAACATTTTTTGTTTTTTAGTGCAATTGTTTTTGTTCCTTTCTACCAATTCTTGAGAATGAAATAAAATGTCTTTCCGAACCTTGTTGGAACAAAATAGTATATAACATTTTCTTAGACCTCTCAATATTATAGTTATACAAAGGAAATTTTGGTTGATTTAACAAAAAGTATGCAAAAAATTAAAACAAAACCCCCCAAAATAGATAAAAATTAAGATAAACCTTTTATTTCATTAACAAGATACCAAACTTTCCTTTGTACAATTACAATATTGAGAGTCCTAAACACGTTGTGTTTATGTCGTTTTGTTCCAATGAGGTTCGGATAGATGTTTCATTTCAATCCGAACATATGATACCAAGAACAAAAGAAGTGTCTGATGTGTTTTCTAAAACAATATAGAGAGATGTATATATAAATATTTCAAATGATAATGATACCATCCAAAAGACGACCATTAAATTGACGATGTGTAAAATATTCAGAATGTTTTGATGACTGGTTTAAGAGAAACGCGTGTTCAAAAGGTTCACCATATCGATACCACACCTTTGTCATCAATTTTCTGACCTATTGTAAGTGAGAAAAAATGGAAAAATTAATAGTCAGGTTACATTTCCACCTTTATCATAAGTATTTTTCATCGCTGGTTATTTAAATAAAAATTCAAACATAAAGGGGCTTTAACACGTAGTCCAATGAGGGAGTGAGTGTTGCCAAACCTATGGAGGGAAGTGTACGTCCTCGCGCATCCTGTATGCTAAATTTTGCAGATTCAGCAATTTTCATTTCTCATAGAAAGTATATTTCAGTGCACTGTTTGGTAACATTTATATCCTTTTAAATGAGATTCACGGCCTCGGATCAGTTATCATGTCTGTCATGTATGTTGTATTTACACAGATGTTGAGCTATGTACAATATATTTCAACCACAACATATAATAGATGCAAATATTAAATTCCATTTATTAATATTGTATTTCAACAATGAGAATGTTCAACAGGGTCACAATCACATTATGTGTAACAGTATTGTTACATGTACAACAGCTAGATGGTGAAAACTGCAATGGGACTACTTTCTTTAAATATAAAAGTATTGAATGTAAACGAGAACAGGGGCAGGGATGCCCTAATACATTCAAATGCATTAAAGGAGAGTGCTGTGAGTATAAAGATGTCCCAAGATGTGAACCTGAAATGAATACTGGCACAGACGCACCATGGCCATGTAAAGGAGCGGGAAGTAAGCCATGTAGTCCTGATCACATGTGCGTTACAGCTGATGCCAATGTATATTCGTTGTGCTGTCTTAATATCACTTGTATCGATATAAGTGGAATTTCACACAAATTTTACGACAAACCGTGGATAAGTAATGAAGACAAGTGTAACAAATGCAACTGCCTCAAAAATGGGAAAGTCAAATGCTCAAATAAGAAAGGTAGTTCTGTTATATTGTCAAGATTGTAGCATACCGCCCGTTTATTTTAGAATTTTAAGATTTGCACAGTATTTATTGTTTGTAATTATGACGACTGAAATCTTCTTTTAAACGATTGCATTTCTTTTAGCCTGCAGAAAGTGTTTAACACCCCATGGTGTAAAGAAAATCCCATTTCAATACTGGAAAGACAAATGTACACGGTGCACATGTAAATCAAAAAGGTTTACTTCTTGTACAACTGCGTGTGAACGTGGCTTGAAAGGTAACACGATGCTGGCACTGTTTATACAGTTACACCCTCAATATGTTGGGTCATTTACATTAAGGAATCATAACTGATTGATTGTGTCTTCTGACATTAATGCATTTTCATCTTAAAACGAATGGGGAGAGAGCAAAATCAGAATTTAAAACGAGAAATACTAAATGAATATAGACCCACTAAATAAGCCAGAACACCTATTGAAATAGAAATATATAAGCACAAATGCCAAAGGTAAGGGTGACTAAAAACTTTAAAGAAACCCAACAAGAAAAGCAAACTGTAAGTGTAAATCTGTCATAAGAAAAGTAGACCCTATATATCCCAAAACCATAATCTAACGTGAAAAGAAACAATGTCTAACATCCCCCTCCCCCCTCCAATCGAGAAATATCTACCCAATGGCACAATTTTAATTAGTGGCGTATAGAATCGTTCTGTTGTTTGTGTAAGATATGTGATATATTTGTGTATCATCATGATTTCATTTTAACATCAGAATTACCATCATCATATTTGGTCTATAGATAACCTAACTGACTACACAACATGTAACACGAAAGGCTGTGGTAAGCAGGTAGCAGTACAACAATGCCACGGTGCAGTCGGAGCAGATGGATACCCTTGTCTTGAAAATAGAATCTCAATCAAAACTTGTGACGAAGATAGATGTACTGGTAGACCGGGTAAACGAATAACTGAATCAACGGGCATTATCATTGGAGGGGAGGAGGTAAATCCTCCTCATAACTTTCCATGGATGGTGTTGATTGACTCTGAAGGGTGTGGAGCGGCGCTTATCTCACCGAAGCATGTTCTTACTGCAGCCCACTGTGTGGAAAATATGGCAAGAATAACTCTAAAGACAGGAAAGCATGACAA